GTCTACAGCTTTGAACAGTGAAAGAATTTAGGTAAACAGTTATTTTAGATATCTCAAGTACTGAACATGCGTATCACGTAAGTTGAAGTCATACATGTATAGTGCGATACAATCGTTGATAGCTTTTTATTGAACTTTTGATAAATTAAATATTTTCTGAAGTTTTACCAAGAACTTATTATCTAATGCAAACATATTTGTGTGAAAACAAGGATAAAGAAGTAGAGAAAAAGAAGGACCATCGCGATACTTATAAACCAGTACACTTTTTCAATATAAATTAAATTTCATCGGTCATTCTTTTTTAAGATTTCTTTTATCTATAGAATAAATACCTTAACTAAAACAGAGATATGCGAAAAACATTATTTAACTACAATCTCTTTATCATAAATCGTCTTCTAAGTTAGCTTCATCATCGAGAGCATTTAATTAATCTCATTTTTATTCAAATATACTCATTTAATACATGAATGACTTATAAGTTGAATTTGAAACAAAACTTTTTAAGATTGAATTTCTCTTCACATTGCCACGAAATATCAAAATCATAACACAATTATTTTTTCAGAACATCACTATTGTCTAGTTTCTGTTTATATATTCTAAAATCAAAGGATAATTTTATTTTAATTGTGAAAAGATTCAAAGATTCATATCTTTCGACTAATATCTGATTTGTTTGAAAAAGTTAACTCTCATGACGATTCTTATAATTTCCCTAAAGATATAAGATAAATTGAAAAGACCAAAACATATACAACTATATTTCTAGGAAAAAAAAGTTTCTCTTTTGCCTTCAATTCTTTAGTCGAGTACTGACACAATCATATTTAAAATATATTAAAACAAAGAAAGAAAAAATCGTATTCAAAATATTCGAATATTGCATCCTGATATCGTTTTCTACAAAACATAAACCATACATGCACTCTCGATCAATTTTAACATGTAACTTTTTTCTTGTTTAAAAATCACTTAACTTTATAAACTACTCTCTACAAAAGATTGGTGTCATAGTGAACCTTTTAAGGTTTTAGACAAGCCTTGAACCTTTGAGGTTCTAGATGTGGGTACCATTTTAAGAACTTTTTTATGGTTCTAGCCGAAAAATTTAGAACTTGAAAAAGTTCTAGATTTTCTGACTAGAACTTCAAACAGTTCAGTGCCTTCGGCTAGAACTACAAAAAGTTCTTAAAATGGTACCCAAATCTAGAACCCTATAAGGTTCAGTCGACAAACGTTTTTTTTTTACAGAGTAGTCAATTTTGATCTAGTTTCAATTAATATCCGTTAGAAAACTATCATATAACATGATGATAGAGTTTCTTTTATGTTTTTTTTGAAAAAGTTGCTCTGCCAGGTCGATGTTTCCATCAATCCGTAGGTTTTCGTCATCGTAGCATGTATTTGATCAAAATTCATCTTTTATCTCTAGTAAAGTCGAAATAAGTAACGAAACTACTCGATATGTAGAACATGGCATCCGTTTTGTTTGTCCACATTTTATATTTGCATTCTCGCTTTCTTACATGTTATGAATGAGAACAAGACAGATATCATACTCCACATATCGACCTGGAAAGTTGCTTATTACAACTTACCGAGAGATAAACGATCAACTCTGATCAAATACATGTTGTGATAAAGAAAACGTGCGGATCAATGGTAAGATCGACTTGCCTTAGCAACATCCTACTGAATTGTTAACCCAGAGAAAAATCAAATCACATTTCTCCTCATATTAAACTATCACATTATGATAATCATATGCTAGAGACTATTGTTGCACGACTGAATGGCATATGATAATATATTGCACTTGTCCGGCTTTCATCAATAGAATGTTCATACTATTGAATAAAAAAAAAACAAGAAAATCTTGACGTTTGAAAAGATTAGCAACGAAAATGATGATTTTTTTTTATGAAAGATGTGGGTGTGTATTTTTTTCATCGACACCCATACCCAAATCCTGAATCTATGTGTAGGAACAGTAAAATCAAGTCTCGCAACAATACGAAGAAAAGTGATGCTCACTGGATGCATCATAATATCCTTCATACGTTTATTTTAAACTGATCGTAAACAATCATAAGCTTAAAAACTCAAGCACTATCAAGTTGATTTTTACTCGATATATACAAGAAAAATCATGCTGGTACACATGATTAATACCACGAACACACGAATAAGTCTTTTTGAAGTCATCGACATAGATGTAGTGGTTGAATTTAATGAATTGATTACCATAATGGAATAATTCAATGATTGATGAAATTTTCTGTCAAGTAGTTGACAAGCTATAAAAAGTGTCACATTATTGTTACATTCAAATTGATTACAGAATTTAGACATTTGTTTTGATCGTATTGAAAAACGAATATATTTGCTCGATAATTTCATATCGTTTATTTTTTTTATGCGTATTTACATGGTAACTCATTGTTAGTATAAGAGAATGTTTGTTGTAGCGGTGAATTTTCTACCAAACGATCTTGACACTAACTACCGTTGTTGCATTTCTTATTTATACATTGAATTTGCAGTTGGATCTGACTGTTTGGTCTATAACAGTATTCTTAAACTGTTTTAAGCGTTCATTTCATTCAACTTGGCCAATGTAAGACCAGATAATTCTTTGATAAGCACTAAAGGGTGAAATGAAATATATCAAAAACAAAAATATAACATGAAGATGAACTAGTAAGGTTGAAGTTGATGGTGAGGAAGATTTGTACTTCACTATACTCTCGTTTTCATCATTTACATCTATCTACATTTCTATTATTTTAGTTTTCGATATTTTTCCTTTCTGCCTTTTCTACTATACTAACACCATCATCATTGATATGTTCAAAATCGAGTTTCAAAATTAACCAGCATTGTGTAATGAGTTAGCCAACCAATTTCAAACACATGTGTACTACATCGAAGAGATTCCACTGAAGAAACACCAAGGAAGAAGATATAGAAAAATATTCCATTCAACTGCCATATAACTATATTCATACCAATATAGATGCATATCAATATCAACGTACGTCATTCATTCTTGAAAAAAGTAATTGCACAATAATGCTGCAATGATGAAAAATGACAAGAAAGTTAAGACAAAAATAAATGAGAGAAGCATAGAATGTCAAGCGTAGCTTATCATAGGATGTATTCGATAAAGTTAAAAATCATTTATCATGCTTTATGAATAGAAATGATATATTCATTGTCTAGCTAAAAAAAAGTAACACACCTACTTTCTTTTTAAATTATTTTCTGTACTAGTCTCATTTAGCCTCGAAACTTATATCACAGATACATGTTTGATTATGATCTGTATACGTAGATTTACAACAGTAAATAGAAGAAATTTGTTGAGAAAATAGCAGTCTTGTATTTTTAGAATCTATGAAAGATGATAGTTTATTGTTCATGGAACTTAAGACATTTTAAAAGAATCTTCCTCTATGATTATAAATACTAGGAAATATTAACTCATTATCAATGATAATTCATCAATAAAGTGTTATATCAGACATAAAATTTGAAAGAAGTCACTAGAAAACAGAATTTCAAATTCAAACCTCAAGAAGTGAGATAAGTTCTGTACTAGGAAAGTCTATCTACAACAAGATACTTTGACGAGAATAAATTCTACAGAGATAGGTGTGGGTGTATTTGTGTGCGTTCGTGTGTGTGTGTGGGGGGGGGGGGTACAGTTTGTTGACGTGAGTTTGAAACAGGACGACATCCATACCTATAGTCATACCCACGCATATCTACACCCACACCCTCACAAAGTTTCTTTCTCATTGAACCTTTTGTTTTTTTTTCTTTCATTTATCAGAAACTCAACGATGATGAAAAATACGGCCCATTAGACACTTATATTACTCATATCGACTGTACTGAAGATATATCTACTATCCTTTTGGCTAGTTTCAAGTAAATATCATTTTTCATTTTTGTATCGAATTTATTCATTGGTGAATTTTCTAGACGATTATTACTTTTAATTTGAAAATCTGATAGGTTGGATGTCTATGAAGTTGAATGGGATTGTCATTACAAAGATTTGAAGGGACCACCTGTTGTCAAGTTCAAACAAATGAAATTGAAATTCATTTAAAAGTAAATTTATCGATGATTTCTGTTTTTACAGAACTAAATTGGAATTTTATTTTCAGGAGCCAAACGTACTTGGATTAATCAAGAAAGATCGATCACATGAAATATCAGGCCCCTATCGAAATACAGGCGAAGCTCAAGTATGTCATTTCTCTTTGATTATCGATTTATTTTTCTCTACTAGTAAATCATCGATAAAATTACCCAAATTATGTGTGCGAAGGAACTTAAATTTGATTACTTTTTTTTTGTTTTAGTTTCAGGAATGTTTTTGTGATGTTATCACTTCTTACCGCTTTTTTTGTACGTATCCACTCAATGAGTCTATCGTTAATGCTATCGATAGCATGAATATTTTGTTTTATTCCTGCACGTGATATATTTACTCAAGTGTAATGATCAGATATAAATGTAATGATTAAACTTGAAATAAATCTCAATTGTAATCTATCTCTTTCTTTTATGTTGGTTATATCATTTAATTCAAAACTGTTTGATGGTATACTCTCTACATTCATATTGTGAATGAATAGCCGATCATTCAACTAGCTATATCGAGTGTGAGCGTGAAAAGATTTCGTGCAACTACATCCTCCGTTTACGGTATTGATAAAATACAGATCGTATGACTGCATCAAATATGAACTATTGAAGGTACTTATTGACACGATTTACAGTCGTAAACCAATCATTTTTTTTTCATCGTATAGTGCCCGGAAAACGGATCGTAAATGATATCCGTTGTGACCAACTTGAGTTGAGGTAGTTCTAGAATACTACACTAAAAGCAGATATTATTATTATAAAAAACTAAATAATTGTGCAGAAAATAGAGATATAGACGATAGTTTTAATAAAGATATGTTTTGATTTTGTTAGTTAAATTTAATTTGACAAATACAATGATTTTTATTTGTAACTTCATGAATTTTTGCCATTAAATCAGATCCATTTACTAGAGTTGAATAGATTTTGTTTCCACTATATTGTTGTAGAGAAATTTGTTTTAAAAGCGGATGAGTCTCGACAAAAGTAAGTAATGCAGGTAAAATTTTGTCACTGATTCGATTAGATGTGAATTCTAATTTAGATAATGAATTTGGTAATGAAGAGAGAATTGCTTGAAAACCAATGTCATCAGTTTCACATGTATATACTTTTAAACTTTGTAGAACATGATTGTTCTTTAAATAATTAGCCAATGTGATGCAATTCTCGTCATTAAGTGAAATGTAGACCAGGTTGACATGTTTGATTTTGTTGTTGTTTTCAAGAAGTTTTCCTAATTCGTTGAAAGCTGCGAAATTCGTTTCCGAGACTTCTAATTCGTTGATAGAATTGTTTTCTTTCAACATTCGTAATATTTCAATTTGAATTGGTTTATCCAGAAAGTAATTGCGAATTATCAAACTTGTCAATCGACACTGTTTACCAAAGAGAGTTTCAAGATAATTCAAATAATTTGGATTAAATTTCTCAGAAAAGAACAATTCTAGTTTGCGATAAGTCGTATCATCTTTGGTTAATGCTGTAGCCATTAAGGACCAATCACTGTCATCCAGTTCATGGGGACTTAATTGAAGATGGTCTTCCTTACGCAACAATTTTCCTGACAGACTTTTATTCGATGCGATTTTGACAGTCGATAATGATGAGGATGCTTGGTTTTGGAAATATTGAGTTGCAAGATCATCATCGAGAATCAGTTCTTTGAGATTTTCTGCATTTGATTGAAGACAAGAAATTATAGTAGAAATTTTTTCTTCATTTATATTGTTTTGAGCCAAATTAAGATGAATGAGAGTCTGTGGCAAAGATCGTGCAAGAATTTCGAAGCTTTTATCATCAATTTGATTAATTTTGAGCCATTTCAGAGCAGTTGTTTGTAGAGAACGAGCCAACTCGACAACACTTTCAGAATTAATTGGATCACTCCAGGTTTCTCTGAAACATATAGAATAAAATAATATAGAAGAATACTCTGGTCTATGACAGATTAATCTACCCCCTTTCAAATAGATAATCACTGTAGGCTTTTATGCTGAGAGAAATTAAAGTTTGATTATTCGTCAACATTTGCGATAACACACGTGCTGCTTCCAAATCAAAATTTAGTGAGCTTATCGATAAATATTTGATGCAATCATTGTTTTTGAGTGATTTCAATAGAGCAATCAAGATTTCATCCCTTGAATAATTATCACCATGATACTGGAACTCGACCAATGTTTTATGAGATCTGAGAGCTTCCATCAATTTAATAAAGCCAGGTTGGATTGGTATACCGCAGGATGTAAAACCGTCCCAATCTAATGTTAACTTTCGTAACGGATACTCTTTATTATTGACTTCTTCGAGTACAATCTCCCAATAGACATCCTCCATTTCGCTAACTTGCAATTGCATTTCAGTACCATCTTCTATGTATTTTTTGTTGAGACTTTTATTTCGAATCAACTTAAGAGAAAATCAAACTTCACATCTAATTATTCTTTGAAGAAAACCTTAATAGTGAGAACTAGAAATCCACCAAACCCTTTTAAATCTTTGCGACAAAGTATCAGGGTTTAGTTCATCATATGAAGTTCGTACGTTCAATGCTTAAAAGTATTACCATCATGACATGTTTCCTATCGACATATTTTCTTTTTACATTTCGAAAGAAAGAATTCAACGCTTGAGGTTTTCGAATAGACATGTTTCAGAAATGAAGTGTGCACTTCATATATAAATGAAAATAGACGCAAAAAAGTATACCTGGCTGTAATGCATCCATCTTTCATGATCATCGTTCATCTCGCCTATAATAGATTCATGATTCTCCGTTTCAGACTATTGAAAACGTTACTCACTAGCCGTGTCTTGATCAACAAGTGAAATAGATATTTTTCTTCTTATATCTAAAAAAAAACGCAACGATCGCACGTTGTGACAACGAGAACGAGCAGGAAAAAATGACTATAGACCTTGTAAGGCAATACCTTTTCAAGCTAATTTTACAAAGAAAAAAACTACAAATTCATCAAACCATGACGAGTAATGTAAGATAATAACTGTGTATATGTGAAAGTATTTTTATGTGCGTTTAATACACGAGAAGGATGAGAATAAGACATTTTGGATATTCTTGTTTCCTATTCAATCATGAAAATAGCTTGAATTTTCGGAACTCAGCTCGGAATATCTATTAAGCTTCTCTTTTGGACAATGTTAGGGAGAGTTTAGAATAATAAAAAAAAAGAATTTTTGTCCTTAACTTTGAGTTCGTTTATTTATATACGGAATACGTTCCTCTTTCTTCACATGCACATACACACACACGTATAGATGGAATAACCAAATCGAAATCTAGGCACACGTATATATATATCAAAGAGAAAGGAGGAGAAGATGAAAAGAGAGAAAGAGAAAAAGANAAATCAGATCCATTTACTGGAGTTGAATTATTTTCGTTTATACCATGTTGTTTTAGACAAAATTCTTTTAAAAGCAGATGAGTCTCGACAAAAGTAAGTAATGCAGGTAAACTTTTTTCACTGATTCGATTATATGTGAATTCGAATTTAGATAATGAATTTGGTAATGAAGAGAGAATTGCTTGAAAACCAATGTCATGAGTTTTACAACTAAATACTCTTAAACTTTGTAGAACATGATTGTTCTTTAAATAATTAGCCAATGTGATGCAATCCTCGTCATTAAGTGAAATGAGGACCAGGTTGACATGTTTGATTTTGTTGTTGTTTTCAAGAAGTTTTCCTAATTCGTTGAAAGCTGCGAAATTCTCTCCCGAGACTTGCAATTCGTTGATAGAATTGTTTTCTTTCAACATTCGTAATATTTCAATTTGAATTGGTTTATCCAGAATGGGATTGTGAATTATCAAACTTGTCAATCGACACTGTTTACCAAAGAGAGTTTCAAGATAATTCAAATAATTTGGATTAAATTTGTCAGAAAAGAACAATTCTAGTTTGCGATAAGTCGTATCATCTTTGGTTAATGCTGTAGCCATTAAGGACCAATCACTGTCATCCAGTTCATGGGGACTTAATTGGAGATGGTCTTCCTTACGCAACAATCTTCCTGACAGACTTCTATTCGATGCGATTTTGACAGTCGATAATGATGAGGATGCTTGGTTTTGGAAATATTGAGTTGCAAGAATATCATCGAGAATCAGTTCTTTGAGATTTTCTCCATTTGATTGAAGACAAGAAATTATAGTAGAAATTTTTTCTTTATTTATAATGTTTTCAGTCAAATTAAGATGAACGAGAGTCTGTGGCAAAGATCGTGCAAGAATTTCGAAGCCGTTATCATCAATTTGATTAATTTTGAGCCATTTCAGAGCAGTTGTCTGTAGAGAACGAGCCAACTCGACAACACTTTCAGAATCAATTGGATCACTCCACATTTGTCTGAAACATATAGAATAAAATAATATAGAAGAATACTCTGGTCTATGACAGATTAATCTACCCCATTTCAAATAGATAATAACTGTAGGCTTTTATGTTGAGAGAAATTAAAGTTTGATTATTCGTCAACATTTGCGAGAACACACGTGCTGCTTCCAAATCAAAACCTGGTGCGCTTATCGATAAATATTTGATACAATCATTGTCTTTGAGTGATTTCAATACAGCAATCAAGATTTCATCCCTTGAATAATTATCACCATAATACTGGAACTCGACCAATGTTTTATGAGATCTGAGAGCTTCCATCAATTTAATAAAGCCAGGTTGGATTGTTACAACGCAGGATCTAAAACCCTTCCAATCTAATGTTAACTTTCGTAACGGATACTCTTTATTATTGACTTCTTCGAGTACAATCTCCCAATAGACATCCTCCATTTCGCTAACTTGCAATCGCATTTCAGTACCATCTTCTATGTATTTTTTGTTGAGACTTTTATTTCGAATCAACGTAAGAAAAAATCAAACTTCACATCTAATTATTCTTTGAACA